GAGCCAATGTCATCAGTTGCTCCATCGCTGTTTTTGCTACTTCTTTCAGCTGACTTTGAGGTGTAAGTTCTGATGCTAGTCTAACATTAATGAACATAAGATCTATGAATTATGTGGACAACTGAATTCATCTAGGTAATTCTATAAAATAAAGTTTGGAATTTTACTTGTCAAAATAGCGCTCCAAGTTGTGCCATTGAGGATCTTTACATCGATTTCCAAAGCGAATGACTTCCTTAGAAAATACCTTCAGCTCTTCCCTGTTGAAATGACATAAAAAAAGGACACACTTTATTTATAAAACGAAATATTGATATTCAATCAATCAATGCTATCATAATTCTGTATATGGTTTATTTGTTAAACAGATAAAAATATCAGAAACCATAAAAAATATATGATTTCTCACTTAGCAATTGATTGAATGAATGAATTATGCAGTTCCAGAATAAGGACCTTTTATCAGCAGCAGAAATCTTTAGTAACTCATCCATGTCTTTGGATATTAAGTATTGCACACCTTCTGATGGAAGTACAACTTCTTTCAAATGCTTTATGTTCTCCATTGAAAGTGATTGCATAAGATTGGAGCCTTTAACTATTGTGTTGGCAACTTCAAATGATAAAATAGATATTTGGTTTCCCTTAGTTGCCACTCCTGATACAAAGCTGCTACTAAGGTGCAAATTTGTCATGCTACTACCAAGTGTGTCCAATACCTCAACTGCTTTGCCGAGCCCAACACTACCTGCCTTGCTCAAAACCAAGCCCACTTCGGAGACCTGAAATACAATACTTTGCAATTAATATGCCTAGTTTACATGTTAGAAGTCTACAGTTAATGAGTTGCAAGAGAAACATGACACATATATAAAGCACAATGTACATATGGAGCACAGTGCAAAAAGTACAACATTTTCTATTAATCTACTACAGGAATTAAAGGATCAATTGAACCAGCAAAAATTATACAGTTAAATGCAGACAACAAAAACCGTTTTAAAGTACATATCCATCATTAAAGACCAATATGTCCAGTCTACTTATGCAAGAAGCTAGATCATTTTTGTTTCGTTGCTCCTAAAACAGACTTCCATATAACATTAGAAGGGAACATGTGTTCTGCAACTCACTAAAAATTCACCGATCAAATCAGTAGAATATGTATTGCTTAACTGTGACAAATTCAGTTATGCTAGCCGGGATGTGAAGTTTATAGTAACACATAGTTTTATACACAAAGATCATATTCCTACTGCAGAATTTTTAGCCTAAGCTAGCACAATTGATGAAACTTGCTTCGAAAGCATATAACTATAACCAGATACATGAAAGGTGGTTCATTAAAAATCCATGAATGAGAAGGTCCTAACTGTATATATCGATTATAAACTAAAAGTGAAATGGCAACAATGTAGTATAACTAGGGACCATGAAGAAAAAAATATAGTGATTAAACATATATGACAAGTTTAAAAAGCATTCTAACCATTTACACTGGCAAGTCAGTATGCCACTCTTGAATTTCTTTCTTAGACAGTCAAGTTTCTCTCATTCAAGAAATGAACCTCTTTTATGTTGTGAAGTTGATTTTAAAATAAAAAAACATATAATAGGCTCTCATGAAATTGTTTATGCTGTCATTGTTATGAGACACACAATGCAATGCAGCTTTAATAGCATCAGCATTTACCCTTGAGATGCAATGAAGTTTATAGCAAAGAAACAAGGTATGTGCTAATAGCATGTGTCATAATCTAAACATGAACTGAGTCTATGTCTCTATGACTAGAATGGAGGCAGTCAATCTGGCATGGAAGTGGGAATCTAGATTGCTTAAAATGATTAGTTATATATTCGGATTAAAGGCCCTTGTAATCTTCTCGTCAAGGATATTCCACTCAAGTGATGAGGAAAAAAATAAGGGGTATACAAATATCAAAACTACCGACAAAAAAACAAAAAACACCAAATGTCTTATATAAGATGACAGTGAAGCTGTTGACAACCAGCATTAACCTTGTATATTCAAATAATTTATTGTGTCTGCTCGTAAGAACATATAAAATTCAGATTCCATCGCATATATGCCCAAAGTAACTTATGAATTAATGAGGTACATGAGACGGCACATCTTATTACCTATAAACAAATAAAATTGGAACCCATATGAGGTTTTTAACTAATGGGGCACATAATGATCATGAAACTGAGAACAAAGACTGAATAGCTCCAGCATATCATCATAGGTGACCAAATTGCAAATAATAATAATAATTCTTATCTTGTCAAAATATGTATAATTATAAACTCCATTAAATAGTTAGTCTTTCCCAAGAGTTCCAAAACTTAGCATCCTTCTGGTGGTGCATCCAGATGGCAGTCGATTTATATAAGTACACTATTTATTTTCCTCATGATTCTACATGTAGCAACATAAGACAAGCTGGTATTTTGGCTGAGAAAGTATCGGGCATGCAATACATGTGAACCATGCAATGTCACATCAGCGATGTGAATGGCAGCATGAAAATGCCTACATATGAGTCCAGCATCAACATGGATACTTGACCATTGCTTGTAACCCTTTGACATGTGGCAAACAAACCTGATTTTTCCCTACCTTCAGTTCAAGTTCTCTGCAATATTAGCCTGCTGGGATCATCCTATAAATAAAGAAACAAGGGAAAGATACTTATATCATAGTTTTGGGTTCTAAAAGAAGCTTTTGTTTGGAGATGGATGAGGCAAGGATAAACTTCATACAGACTTTGGAGCTTTCATGGCTCATGTTGATCAGTGGTACCATGTTGCACTACCATTTTAAGATTTTCTGCAATCACAATAACAACTTCAGCATGAAGTTAAACAATATACTTGTTCTAGAGCACCAAATAGAAAATTGAGTGATGAGAAAGCAAAATTCAACTACATTCATGACATTCTTGGACTGATTCATCTCAACTGAGTGATCATGGCCCAACCACCATGTGAAGTATTTTGCATTATTTGCAATCTCACCAAACTCATATAATCCAGAAGAAACACACCAGTACTCCTTATCATTCAATCAAAAACAAGAAAACTATCATGAGTTGAACTTGCCTTCGTAGTTCCAGACTTTCCAGAGGAGGGTTTAGACTTCGTTGAGCTAGAATTTTGTGAGATATCCCTGAAAAACTGCAGTTCAGTGGCATCAGCAGCGTCTGAAAAGTTTCCGGTGTGTGTTATTGTGCAATCACGGAAGGAAAAGGACTGTTCTTGCAGCCGCTTCTCCATAGCTTCTTCTGCTAGAGAATTAGCCAAATCCTCCTGCCTTTTACTATGGAATTGACTCGGTATTGGCTGACCCCTGAACCCACTAGGATCGAGAGTATCGCTGGGCGATTTATCCACAGCTGACCTTTTTGAGCAAAGCCCACCCATTTTTCTGAACGCTTATCAAATCTCAATTCTTCCTTTCCTTTTCCAGACACATTTTTTTTGTCAATTTTCCAACAAATATTGCCACAGTATGCGATATTCAAAGGACACCGATCTCGTGGAGAATTAAAAGCAAATCCGATTTAAATACCTGCCACAACTTTGGCAGATGGAACACACCGACTGCAGCTCCTAACGACATAAAGGAAAAAAAATTTCTGGATTTAGAATCTGATGCTAAATCCCAGCCCGAAACAATCGCCGGATCCGAAACCAAACCGGTGCGGAATCAAGAAACGCCTAAAAAAGATTGGATTTCTCAAGCACCTAACAGCAGAAAACCATCCAAAATATCAAGGGAGAAAAGAGACCGCACCTTTGCGGACCGATCCGAAGCGGCAAGAAAAAGAAGATGGCGAGAGACAAGATCCAATCTTTACGCTTCCACGGCACCAGGAGCTGGCAAAAAGACCGGGGAGAGGTTTCTGCGATGCGTCGCAGCAGCAGCAGTCGAGAGAGAGAGAAAGGGAGAGAGACAAACCACTGGAAACACAGCTAAATTCCACACTGAAGTGGAGCTGGTCAAACCCAAACACCCTCCAAGTCTTATAAAACCGATCAAGAAGGCCAAGAAGCTTGGATTTTTTTTTTTCCAAGCACTTAATATTAGAAAAAATTCCATACACCAAGGGGAAGAAAAAAATGCCGCACCTTTGGTCTGCAAGAAAACGGCGAGACCGACCCAGTGACTGATCGATCGATGTATCGACCGGTCGATCAAGATCCAATCTTTATGCTTCCCACGGCATCAGGAGGACCCAGGACAAATACATCCCTGTGATGCTTTGCTGCGACAGCCGAGAGAGGAGTCCGACCACCGGGAAACACACGAGCCAAAACCCATCCGCTGCCGCGGAGCTGGTCAACCCTCCGAGTCTTCTTTACTCCTCCCCGACCTCACGCCATCAAATTCCCCTCCTTGATAAGCTCGCCTACTGTGTCCTGCTGCTGACTTTGGCTTTCGCAATTACTCCAGAAGATAGAAATTTGATTAGGGTTGGGAAAAGGTTCCATTTTTATCATGCAATAGCTTCCATAAGCATCGGCATTGAGCTGACTCACCCTGCAAAAGCTTAGAATCTCATATATCAGTCTCTACCTGACAATGTTTACCCACACTTGTCCTATGCAAGATCTATAGTTATATTATTTGTTCTCATTAACAACTATGTGACGATAGACAATTCTCGGTCCAATAACGTGTTATTTCGGGAACATCATCTTGCCGTGTTATGTATGGGTTAATATGGAGTAAAGTATTTCTTTTCTGAGAAAAGAGAGAGAACAACTTGTTGACTCCGCCAATTCCACTCGTTCATCATTTCTCCTTTGGGATGCAGCGTTGCTGAGGCGTCACGTAATGGCTTTTACGAGGATCCCCAAGAAACAGGATTTTGGCCTCCAAATAGTCAAAGCACTCGATAGCTTCTCCAGCAAGCAACAGTGGTTTGATCTCAGAAACAGGGACCAAAGAAAGCTTTCCGGGAGACAGGTAGAATATGGAAGCAGAGGCATTGACCGTTGCAAGCAGCTGTTCAAAAAGATTTCTTGAGCAAGTAGTAATCCAGATGCAATTTACAGACAATAAAACTACAACATTCTAAATTCTTGTTCATGTCAGAAGCATTTGTGCCATCATAAACTAGCAGGATTAAGTACAATGGTAGGCGAGAATCAGCATCTCCTTAAAAGACTTCAGATACCCACAGCTGAAGGTTTTGGTCAAATAGCAGCTAACCCGGGAGGAAGGACATTGCTCTTCTGTAGTCCAGAGATGGGGTAGATTCAGGGAAGCCACTGCCTTTTGGAATCCACAAACCACTTTCATGGGGAAGCAGTACCTTTGGGTCTTTGCCCTTTCTGTCATTAACATTTTCTGCAGCCGTAGTTTCTTTCTTTTTCTTCACAAAATCAAAGAATTCTGCGACTTGCCGAGCATACCTGGATATAAACAATGGACCATCAGAGGATGAGAAATTATAGACGTAAGATAAACAAATCACCTGTTATCGGTCGGGCATTTTAATATCATCTGATAATCTCGGAAGGGAATGCATTAGGGAGATACCCTAAAGTGATGAATTTTATTGTTCAGCCAGCATAACAGAGCTATACAAGGGTGCTTGCCGTACAGCAATCCAAAACCCATGTGCTTGAACCAAACCCAACCGATGCAGATTTAGTTTGGAAACCAGCATATATCACACCATCGTATGCAATCCCTGAAGCTTAGTCCAATCTATTAATAAGTACTTCCGAAGATACAACTTCGATTCAAGACAGTTAGACAACCAAACATGGGCTTAGATGCAATTCTCACTTTTTGCTCTTTTACCAAATCATCTCACCCAAGCAAAGTCCCTTAGTCTTACACATGCTACTAAATAAGATAGAGAGGTCCCAGTGCAAAGGTAAGATTGCTATGTTCAACCCGAGGGCAAGAGATTGAACATCAAGATCTTCACTGATTGTAGATGTAAGACTACAAATACAGTCAACTTGAATTCTCAATTATCTCGTAAGCAACATTCCATCAACTGACAGTTTATGACTAGTTATCTTGCAATTTCTTCAACCATCTACTACACATGTACTCATGTCACACTCATCATATAACATCCTGATTGGTCTCATGATGGAAGTGAGAGATTGTATTGATCTATAGAAGTATATAAATATGTTATCATTAGCTTAAGCATATGTATTTTAAGTTATGTCAATACAAGACACATTGTTACTGAGTCGATTTTCCCATTGGGTTAGGTTGTGAAATCTCGTGCGTACAAGGCTGGAAGTTGATGATATTATCCTAAGAATATTTAATGAATGCAATTCAGCTCTAAACCTTAGAGAATGTTCAGAAATACAAAAAAAAAAACATGCACAAGACAAGAATATTAAGATATCAAACAAAATCTATAAGAGCAGATAAAAGGACAGTATGCAAGTATACCCTTTCCTAAACACAAAAAATCAAATAACTAAACTGCAAAAATTTAGCTACCGCCAGTATCCTTGGGAAGAGGGCAAGACTATTTAACTTACTGTCTTTTAGCTTCAATGTCTTTGCTGAAATCAATGTTGGGTTCACAATCCAGCACCAGAGCTGGAACCTACTCATCAATAAAATTTACTTAGGTCTAACAATGAATTCGTTATAATTAAGGAAAGGCCAAGATGAAAAAGCTACCTTTTGGATGGTTGGATGCATGTGATCGCCTCCTAGAAAGAAAACACGCTCTCTTATATCAGGATGCAGAGAGCTATCCATATGCAGAGGCAACTGACTGACTGAGAGTACACCATTGTTTCCATGTTGAGAAGGAAACAACCAGCTTTCATGTTTCTCATGTAGATCTCTCAGGTACTGTAGGCTAACACCACCTTCTTCAGCTCTATTACGTGACATCATTCTTTTATGGCAAGTGTCAGGGCTAGCTCTAAGATAAATGAACCCGTCAGGGATTAACCCTGGAAGGCATGATATGACAGGATCAAACCATGAATCATATATGCTAATTTCCATCTCATTCATCCATTTGGCCTCATAAACAGCACGTACAAAGACCTGCATATAAAGACATTAAAAAGCAGAGAAATTACACAAATGTCATGTCAAACAAAAACATTGTGTGATGGAGAAGCTAGTTATGCCCATGTTTGTAATCTATTATAATATATGCTCACCATTTTATCACTGAAAACACTTCTTTCCATCAGCCTAAGAGGCTTGATTCCACCAGACGACTCTCTTTCCTGCATGACCCTAGTTACAAATACATAATTCTGGAAGGTGTAGGCATACCTCTGTGGTTCAGCATAGAAGGCATCCAGTATATTGAAGTGATCAGGACCAATATCCTGCCACTTGTCAATAGGTTCTGGAACTATTTCTACAAGATCACGTAATTCAATTGTTTCATGAGCTATTCTTTGTAAGAACGTAGTCTTCCCAACACTGATATTGCCTTCAACACAAAATGTAAGCCTATTCTTCTGTGAAAGCTTCATGGTAGACTCCATGGTATCCCCTTCTAACTCTTCATCCACTTGTTCCTTGATAAAGGAGGTTATACTCTCTGCATGGCTTTTATGGATAATTCCTACAGAGCTCTGTAAGTATTCAATCATCTTATCGCTGGATTTGCCAACAAACTGTGAGGGGACCAATATTAAAGTCATATCAGAATGGAAAAGTACCACTTATATACAGACCAGAAATGTAAAATTCAATTATGTAATTTGGAGAATTTGTCATAGCAATTTACAAAGTCGCAGATACGAGTGCAGTAGCATGATCCATCAAACAAAAAGAATGCAAATGGACATGTTAACACAAAGTTTAGGAAACATTAAAAAAAATACATGATCCATGATATGCGCCAATACTAGAGCAAAAAGGAATTTGGAGCATATATTACCCGTTGAAGGAACATTAAAGAATGAAATGGCACCAATCCAAATCTCGAAATCGTTTCTCTCGTTTGCCACTTGACAAACAACTGAACCTTGTCTATAAAAATTAATACAAATAGTTAAATTACTATCTCCATCAACCACAACTCCAGCACCCAAAATAAAAGATAATTAGTTAAATGATTGTCTACCTACACCAACTCCAAGAATAATAACGACAAAGGGACTGTTCTAGTTCAATCTTTAACCTTTATTTCATATATATGTGCTAATTCAAGGTAACTTTGAGAACTAAACAAAATAATGCAAGTGCTAGAATTAGGTAATGCAGGAACACAATCATATACCTTGTCCACGTAAAGCTGCTTGAGCTGGGCCACGCCCTCGAAACCCTTATCCACCAACTTCCTCAGATTCCGAGGACCAACCCCCGGAATCGCCAACAGTTCTAAGCCCTGTGCTGGAGGCGCACTAGAACCACCGCTCCTTGCCCTCCTCTCCACTGACTTGCCACCAGCCAGAGAAGCCCTCTGCTGAACTTCACTATTCCTCTCCGCACCCGCAACCCCATCCTCCTCCTCTTCTTCGCTGTCCTCCTCGACGGAACCCTCCAAGTCCCCGCCTTTCTCCCGATTCCTCAGAGCTTCGACCGCCCTAAAGCCCCTCGCCCACCAATCGCGCAAAGAGTGGGCCGAGGCCGGCACTCGGTCCCGCCGAAAGAGGTACGAGCCATCGTCAGCGGAGTGGTATACGGGGGCGTATTTCAGGCGGGCATACTGACCCGAGCAGAGGATAGCGGCGGAGGGTCGAAGTGGGAGGCGGAGGGCGGGCAACGAAGAGAGAAAGAGGGCTCGGGCGGCACGTGGCTCAAACCAGCCGGCGTTGCAGAGGACGGGGTTTCCACGACAGAGCTTCTGCATAGCTGCCACTCCTGCGACTGGAGTACATGAAGAATCGTACACGCAGAAGAAGGAGAAGAATGAGGAGGAGGACGTGGGATTAGGGTTTTAGGGGGAAATGGCGGGGTTAGGGTTTTGGGAATATTTATTAGTTTCCGGACACGATGGCCGCGTAGATACGATTAGGAAAGAGAAGGAGAACTGGGGCCCACTGGATTACCCATTTATCCCTAATTCCAAACCAATCATCATCTGGGTTTCTTTTGTGGGCTTTTCTCGTGTTGGGTTTGAAAAGCCTTTCTCAAAATTAAATATTATATTCCTGCCAATTAAAATTGCATACGAATTAGATTCATGTTGATTTAAACCCATTCCAAGTACTATAAGTCCAACCCTATCAAGCTTGTCAATCCATTGAATGGCCTAAATTTTAATTGGGATTGAATATGAAACACCCATGTTTTGATCACAATGATGTGGAGAAGATCTTAATCAAGCTATACGATAATCTCATCAGATCAGATCGTAACAAATGATATGAGAGAAAGAATGATGTGAAATTGTGTCTCAGGTTTGATCTTGTGATATTTGAAGTGAAAGAGATCTTAAGACTCAGCTTGAGCTATCGAATTAATAAATTAATTATCCCGTAAAATTGAATCATGATATAATCAATAACATGTTTGTATTATCATAAATATTAATCGATCTCTATGCTTATCACTTTGGCATTAAACACAAAAAATAAATCTGGAAAAATGTCTATTGTGCAATAAATGACTCATCTAATAACAAGTTATGCACCATTCTTTTTTGTCTCTGTTGTTAGATAAAAGCATAGTAGCATTCTCAAGCATAGATGAAAGGGTTTGACTTCATCATATGACCAACCAATGGGTTGACTTTATTTTGTCCTTATCCAAATATGAGCAATGCTTCTTTGAGCTGGGAAAACTAACTCCAAATCATAAACTACACACCATTATTCTTCTGTGAATGAAATGAAAACTGCTAGAAAATAAAATACAAGCAAATTGAATCAACTTGCACCATCAAAGTCATATGTTAAACAAGAGAGCGACAATAATTTGATGCAGTCAGTATGATCTCTTCCTATTGACTAAAGTTACCAAAAGATGAATGTTACCAAATGGCCAATTTGCCTAAATTTTACTTCAAGACACATCAAAAGAGAATGCCACTGAACCAGATGAACAACTGTCAAACACAAGCAAATTTTAGATATTTCCATGCATAAATCAAAGCATATCATTCTGTAAGTAACACGGTGTGCCTAAATCTGCACATGCGCTCATCAATTGGATATCCGAAGAGAACTCCGTAACAAAAAAAACTCGAGGAAGATTTGCATCAACAGTTCTGTTAGAATGACCGACAACTACAAAGTTTGCAGGCTACAACAGGGATGTGAAATTATGCCATCCACACCTGTCAAGCCAATTAGAGTAAAAATAAAGAAAAAACTGCACAATTTGGTGGCTTCTCTTTCAGCCAAGGTGAATTTTCACTGGTAAACTTCTTAAGTTATCGATAAACTAACAGCAGTCAAGATAAGCAAATGCAATGGTCTCTAAAGCGACCGAGCATTATTGCTTCCAGTTGTAACATTATTGTCAGCTTTCATCCTTTAAAATCGAAAAGGATGAATTAGAATACACTAGTGACAGTCTTCAAGCTGGGACTTGGCTATCATGGAGCTGCATACCGTTGATCCAGTCTTCAGAGGTTGCATCAAATCAATAGAATGCAATTACCACAAACATGAGAAAATACCAGAAAGTAAAAGCAAAAGTTCAAGCCTAACTGTGCTCAGTGTCCGCAGCCACAACCCAAACAATTGTCTCATCCGGCTGAATTATCTATTAAATACACCAAGGCTGATAGCTTCAAGCTATAGATCCCATAAGAATCCAAAGAGACGATCTAAAAGATGGTACTTGAGAGTAGAAATAACCGTTTTTTCATATCAGTTAAATGCGGGAGATCACTCTGGCTAGTGATTCAATAATTTGTCATTACTATGGTTTGACTCGGGCAATATAAGAGTAAAGCTTGAATGAACCGCAGCCTTTTATTCAATGGAGCTGACTGTTGGTAGGCTAAGGAATAAGAGTTCCAATTATATCCATTGAGACAAAAACAGAAATGTTGTAACTTCAATCGAATTTCTGACTCCAAAAGTGAACAGATCCGTTGTCTAAATGGCCTGCAGAATATTTTTCTAGCAATACGTGTCAGTTGATGAAGACCATGAACTTCATGAACTATCTCAATATGAGCTTTCATATCGATAGCATGAGACCTCTCCCATCAAGTCCGTTAAAAACTCCTTGTCCCAAGGAACAGGAGTGGCAACCTTCCAATTTCTGAAGACCAATTTCAACATGAACAGAAAAATACTTGCAGGCTCTTGGAAGATTATATGCTCTTTCACACTTAACAAATTTAAAATATTAATCATCACTGTCACTTGTGCAGCATAGCTTCTCAAATTTGACGTGTTCACACAGAAATATTCAATTTCATCCTTGGAGATGCTGGAGTCATCTGCGAAAAACTTGCTAATAATATGCTCTCTCAAAATTTAACTTCATGTCACCGAGGTTGAGAATCATCAGTCATGGAGACCTACATCCTGTCCATCAGATAAGTAGTTACGATTTGCTTCTGAAGAATGAATAAAACCTTTATCTTCATTTCCAGCCCCTACAAAGAGTAGCCTCTTATCTTCTTCCATTACGTGCTTGGCTTCAGCTTCATGAAGTTTATCGACATCAGATTCGGTGTCATTGTTAATTGGCACAACAGGAACAGGATCAACAGGAAGTTGAATATCTGGAGCACAAATTATAACAGAGGCAGAACAAGAATGTAAAGCAGTAGATTTACTTGTGAATGACGTACACGTGAATGTATTTTGCTCAATATGTTCTGATGAATCAAACTGGTCCATCTTATGAAGAGAGAAAATTGCCACAAGCAACCTAGCCTTAGGATCAGATAGAACACTACTTTCTTGAAGAGAGAAAGACTGATTAAAAGCAGCTTTGCAAGTGTTCAAAACATCAGTTGGTGAAGTTTCTAAAACAGGTCTAAGAGGATTTTGAGCTGGAAAATCACTAACTGTGAAAGCAAATGTACTTTCTGAACCATTTACTGTGTTATTAGGACTTGCTGAATCCTTGTAACACATGTGATGTGAGCATCTGGTATCATGCAAGGCATTTTCAATACAACCAGCCGAACTTTTAAGGCATCTTCTGTGTTTCTACACAGCTTCCAAAATGCCATTTTTGAAGCTTACATTGGCTGCTGCATCGCAGACCATTGCAATTTTGTAATCTTTGCTGATTTATAGAAATTTCACTTACATTTTCAGATTTATAATCAAGCTGAGTAACTGGCAGAGCATTATGATTTAAACACATTCCTGAACTTGGATTCTGATTTGCCACTTGAGCAACTTTGTGCACACTCTGATCTGCCAAGACAATATTATTTTCCCCACTCAGGATGTAAGTAGAACTTTTCATGGCCTTGAGTAGCCTTCCCTCTGGCAGAACACCAATCTTCTTATTGATGCAGACCACAGCAACAAATGGTTCAAGAAGCTGCCATCTCTTCAAAAGAGAAATGGATATTCCAACGGGCCAAGTGTTCTTCTCAATGTAGAACAGTGTGTCTGTCAAATCATCCCAAAATCTGTCGATATTCATCCATACCCTCCCATTATCTTCCTGTTCAGAGCCCATTGCACTGGCATAAAGCCTCTATCCACAGGCCTTCCGAGCTAGAGAAAATGAAGTGACAACAAGTTTTTCTTTGGGTGCTACAAAGTAGGAAGCAAACTTTGTTCGGTCAGTCCTCACACGAGGCTCAATTTTCAAGCCTGCATCAATACGTAGACAATTTGTATGAGAACAAAGACATTCAGGAAGTTCCCCAGTCAATGCCCTCTTTGAGACGACATCAACTGTGCCAGAGTGCAAAATGCTCAATTCTTCCACAACATTTTTCATATATAGAGGCACACCTTGTGCCCCCACAGGAGTGGCAGCCACCATCAAAAGCCCTGAAGTGAAGCTCTCTTGGGAAACAGGGGAAGCAACAGATTTAGCTTCACTAAGTAACTTATCCCCTCTCATGTCTTGACTTTTGCAATCAACATCCATAGCAATGTCATCACTACCATCAGTTTCTTCTTCGGTTTTAGAGAGATGGTAACTACATATGATACTTGGACCACAAGTTTCAACCATAAGGCATGTTGATTGCTGTTGATGCTACATGGGCACACTTAAAGAACTTTGTGAATGACTCAGGTCAGTCAAGTCATCAACAGTGGAAGACAGACCACATTCTTGATCAACATTCATATAAGTTTGTTGCTCAAGAGAAGATAACTTCATCTGCTTCGCACGAGCATTGCAAGGATCTGAAACAGCACCAGAAGAGGAGTCATCTAGAAAGCACCCAGGTCCACTAACTTCCCTGGAATAAATACATGCAAGCTGCGAACATTCACCAGATGAACCTTTAATGGACAAATAACTAGTCAGCATTGAACTCTCATAATTCGGAGGGGCTAATGATTTTGATTGGCTGCTTTCATCCTTTTGGAAATTCACAGGTGTCCGAAGTGACATTATGACTGTGAGATTCGCCAGCGCCAGTTACATTAAAGACCTCCATAATATGTATTGCTCTTGCTTTGAGCCATCCAAACCATCTCTGGCCAATGTATCAATTCCCTGTCCAGACAACATTCTATTCACCTTGTCTTCCTTACATCCTTGATCATCTGTCATCCTATGCTCTGTCATCTCCATCGAAGCCACTTTTGCTGGACAGAGTCCTTCAATACTTGAAGGAAGACCAGTGACTGTGTGCTTGCTGAGTAGGAACTCATACATCTGGATGGAATCACCATTTGTTCCCTACTAATTATACGGAGGAATAGCAGAGAAAAGGCTTTGATAACACAAACAAAAACCAAAAACTCCATATTTGAGAATACCCCACATTGGAACCTGAATTACCACCCAGAAAAGATCATGTTTCCTACCCAGTAACACATATGCACCAAGCTCTAATCGAAGAAGAAACCCCAAAATGTCCAAGAAAAACCCAGCAAACAGAGAGATGGATCAAGGAATTCGAACCCTTAACCAACCTTAGCGCCGCCAGGGAAAATTATAAGCTCAGAAGTCTTAGATTTTAGCAAATCCATGCTCGGAGAGCATAAAACGACTCGAAAAAGGAACTTCGATCCCAAATATTGAAGCACTAACGTGCAAAAGGCATTAACGAGAAAGCTCCAGAAACAACCAATAAAAGTGGCCGCACAAATGAAGTACAAAAACTCGCCACCCTATACTTAAACAGCTACATTCACGACACCCAAGATCCCATCTTTTGATAACTTTACACCTCAATCTCCTTCCCTATGTGGCCAAAAACCTACCAAGGGCCAAATCTATGACAGAGATAAGAAAATTTCAAGATTTCGGTGAAGGAAACTTTAAAAGACTCCACAAATCACCGAGCGACGGAATACGGGGCAAAGAACTCGTCTTTTGCAGCGAATAGGGTCAAGGATCCGGTCTTCTCCTAAGCCGTTGACAGCCGCTCCTCGGGCTTCCTTGGCCAAAGGATACACTGTGCTTCGAGCCGTCGGGCAAAGCAAGTGGACGAACGGAACGCCTTCGCTACCTTTTCAACCCCGCTTCACACCCAAAACGCTCGTGCGGACCTCAGCCCACGGCGGCTGATATCGTGGGACAGCACGAGGCCCAGCTTTCGACGTTATAAGATCGAACAGTCGATGACAAAAGCAATAACAACTATATAGACACGCTGCTCAACCACGGTCCTTTCCACTACCGTGGACATGACCCAACACATTGGGTATGGTTTAGCTTGAGCTCCAAGATCATTTCCCCGTCACCAATGGGGACATAACCCAACTCTCCAAGATCAAAGAAATCGCGATACGAGGAGAAGTTGTAGTCCACGAGTAAGATCTTGCTATTAGCCATTGGCCTAAACATGATGATACAACAGTTGAAGGGTGTCTCGTTCCAACACTATGTGCTTCCCTTTATCTCCGATCAATCAATGATTCAAGATCAGAAGCTTCTTGGGAACCTGTCGACTTTCCTTACAGCAAAATATTTGGCATTTGGGAGTATGAGCGGGCTCTTAAAAGCACGAATTTGTCTTCTCTCCATGACATCACATTTACGAAGAAACTTCAATGCCACATAACTCCGACAAAGATTTTGTGGGTCAACCATGTACGTACGCAATCTCACTTTAAGTGGGTCCGCAATGGAATTCTTGCACCAATTAGCTGCCCACCTTTTTCAGTTGACATCAGTGGAAGAGGTACTCTGAAAAGGCGGCCTTTTACTCATTGTATGCACACTCTTAACCTGAAACTAAACAAAGCAATTGACTGAAGTCTCAGAAGTATTCGACATGACAGCCTCATCCCACACTGAAACCTTGAATTAAAAGAAGTTGTTCTAGCAATCTTAGGAGAAATAAGTGTTAAAACTGCATTTCTTATTGCCCCGAAGAGATTGCTGAAACATGAAACAGGGTACGCAAAATTGGTAAAGACCAATTTTGGAGCAAGAAAAAGAAATTTCACTCTGAACAAGAGAAGGAAAAAGAAGGAACTTTTTGATGGTTTTACTGCTATTTGTCACTTCTGATAATTATCATTTCATTCTGAGTCCTTTTAGTTATCTGTTCACTGATGAATGAATGAATCTTTTGGTGAAAACAAACAGAGAAGAGCAACTGATGCCACAAAAAGATGCGTATGTCAAGGCATTCACTTTACTCAACAAGCAATGTTATCAAGAGACAGATTACATGTTTCAGAGACTGTGTTGACATAAAAGAAACCAAATGATGCAAAGTGAATGTGCAATCCACCAATTATTTCAGTAATCAATGCAACCATACAAAAGGAAGCAAACCTGTCAAAGAGCAATTTCAAGAAACCAAACTACAATGACAATATTTCACACTTGGACAATAACAAATCTGTTGGATGCTATGTGTGATTTGGGACCAATTTAACTTATTTCTTATGTGAATATTTTTTATTAGTTTAGAGGACCAACAACTATAATATTTCTAATTTAGTTTCCTAAGGGAAAGGAAAAAGGAAGTAAATATAGAAAAAAATGAAAGAAATTAAAACTTAATTTTGATTAAGTACAAGAAAATATCTACCAATCTATCATGGGAAGATTATTTTCCAAATAAATCTCAAACGTCATTTCTTAATTATAATTTTTTATTTCTATATTCTCTTTTTTTTCTTGCAATTGAGGTCTATAAAAAGGGTCAAATAGATTGTGATAAGATTATAAAAGGGATAACAATAAGATAATATGATCAACATTAGCAGTATTGCTTGAAACTGCTAGACTTGCCATTATGTGCAATTCATCTAATTGCTTCATAATGATTTTCCTGAAAACAAACAATTCCTTTTCTCTATTTTTACTTTAATGAGTTCCAACTTCATTGGAATTGATTGTTTATGAATTGATCAAACTAAATGACAAATGAAGCCAAGAGGGTTGGAAGGCAATCCATCATAAGCCTATGAATGCCGCCACCAACCATACATAATACTCTAATCACAGATAAGCAGGTGTCTCAAGGCATCATTTCAATAACCTTTGGTTGTTGAGGGAATCAAAGTTAGGATGAACAACCTAATGGTAGGTTTAGGAGGTTGTGGATAGCCTTGATCAAGTTTATATTTGTTGCAGTCTAAAAGACCACAAAGTTTGGTGGAAAATTTAAAGAAATAATGAGATCATGTATCAAACTAAACTGGTAGGCCATCCAACATTAGGTTCACTGCAGTTGCATATCAGCAGCATATTCCTTGGTAGGACAAGTGACCAGTAACATGTAATCTATATTTCTGATTGGATTTAGATAGTAGATGATGTACCACAAGAATGATATGACCTCTTAAAGAATAATAGGATTGAGGCCCTGTTGGCTCATATGTTTGATCTTATTAGTCTCAGTTTGGCTGAATTCTGTAAAGGACTAACATACATGCAATGTCTTTTCAATCTTCATCAGCTTTTGACTTGTTACATGGTTCCTTCTTGTGTCCAAGTTTGTAGGATCTTGTGGTTGAAGTGTGGTAAATCATGAAGATTTCAATCTAACAGTTGAGGTCCCATGTTGAGGTCAATCCAAACTATTACTCTCCATATCACTATGATACATGAATGTTAATATGGAATTTGCCTCTCATGCAATTTATAGTTTCCCAAACAGCAATTTCATTCCAATGAAAAGTAATGAATGAGAGCACTGTTGCGTATCAATCTCATACTGTTAGGAAAGAATAAGGAACTCTGAGATTACTTTTGTTCATATTATAGATTTGTTCATCAAAAATTAGAAGCTCTTGTAAAGAAGGCTGCAGGAAGGTAATATGGGTCTATGATTTTGGCTTTGACAGACTGACATGTATTCTCCTGCTCTGTTTATAATGACATTTTTCTTCCATCAAGTCCATGAATCTTTTTTTTTTCTTTCGGAGGCAAAATCTAACATAGTATCATGACAAATATGAAAATGGATTACATTCTTAACTCATTCTCAAGAAATAGTACAAGTACTGCCACAGTGACCTGGGAGAATTTTTTTCATGAAACTGTTGTTTACTATATTCTGCGGTCAATAGAATGATTATGACAGGTTCAGAAAAGAAGTTTCTTCTTTGATTAGGTATTGTTCAAGATTTTGCAGATTTAACACTAAAATTAACCTTGACTAAGGATGTGCCATGTGAACTAACTAGTCAAGCATATCTAATAGATGTAAAGTCATTGATAACATGCATACCGACAAAATTACGAATTGCTAAACTAATATTAGTTGGAGATGATAAAGCCTACAAGTTCAGCTAGATGCTAAAGATATGCAGTCTAGTTTATATGCTGAATAAGAAACATGTAGTTCATCATATAGCTCCTGACTAATGGCTGCAGAATCAGCCATGACTGATAGCAATGGTTCATAGGCGCAACCGCTTTTAGTTAGATAGATGTCAATGTTAATACATAAATAACCTATGAAGACACCGTGAACATGAGCAGGGAGCAGCAGGGAAGATGGGTTGGTAGCCTATTGACTTTGCCATGTTTGTATTGCCCTCTCAGGTAGGTAGGAACAGTTAGGAAATGCAAATGATCAGCTCCACAACATTAAACATCAGCAAGACTTTTTTGCCAACTTCAATCTGGAGTCATTACATCACATAATCAACAGAACATGCACAACTCTTCCTTATTGTTTTAAGGACTCTTTTCCAGTCTAGTATCCTGAGTTAGTAATTGAGCTAATCAAGTCATGGTCTTCAAATAAAGCAAATAGTTATCTGCTTGTTCATCAATTAATCACTGATCAGAAAGCAAGAATATGCTGTCAGTTTTAATAACATCTCCTGTATTTTTCGGTTCAATTTTCATGGAATGAATCGGTAATATGCTCAATCTTTCTGAATTAGTGAAACAAGCTTGTGAGTCAAATAATTAACATAATCTTGATTACTGCTGATCTATAGAATCTCATTAGGTACTTGCAACATTATGATGTGCAGCATTATTGTTGAAGCTTGGATTATTACATCATTTTGTGCAGAGTTATTGGCAGAGACATTGATGTCTGTAGATGAAACATAATAACCTGGATTGGAGTGGTTGCATAGGGCAAATCCAAGCACATGCATCACCCACCAACCAATTATTTCTCAGCTTTCTGATCTGTCCATGGATAGATCCAACAGGATAACCTCTGCAGCAAGTACAAACATGCAAGAATCATCTGCAACAGACCAAGCATGCCAAGAAAGGCACAAAGGACATGAGGTTTTACCCTTCCGTGGAAAATGCTTCAGGTTAAACAATACCATATATTCTTCCCAACTCTGACATGATTAAGCTTGAGGTTAAACAAGAGCAGGAGACCATGGGGTTGTTTGAGAGGTGGGAAGAGTTCTTAAAGGTGTAGATCTGTCGGTGGGGGATCAGAGAGTTGAAACACCACTGCAAACATGGAGGCTACCTACCTTCTATCAACCATCTTTGCACCAACTCGGTCAATGGATCAACAAGTAGTGGATCGAGTCAATAGGGAGAGTTCCCACAGTCTCTCCTTCCCTCTCGTATATATACACACAGACCACAGCAACAACAACAAAAGAAGCAGATCAAGAATTGGCATCTTTCTTCATCTCCTGACATCGCAATGGGCAGGTCGCCTTGTTGCGAGAAGGCTCACACCAACAAGGGAGCATGGACGAAGGAAGAGGACCAACGGCTGGTCGCCTACATCAAGGCTCATGGCGAAGGATGCTGGAGGTCGCTCCCCAAAGCTGCAGGTCTGTTGAGTCCTAATGTCGCAGGTTATGAGTTAGAGGGTGGAGTTGGGTGCTGATGGATGGTTTGGTTCTCAGGTCTCCTTCGTTGCGGCAAGAGCTGCCGCCTTCGGTGGATCAACTACCTGCGGCCTGGCCTCAAGCGCGGCAACTTCACCGAGGAAGACGACGAGCTCATCATTAAGCTGCATGGCTTACTCGGAAACAAGTACGTATCAACTGCTGCTGTTGCTGCTACACTTCTCTTGCGTGTCCTCCCTCTTACGCTGCCAATGTCTTGTGGTTTCAGGTGGTCTCTGATCGCCGGGCGCCTACCGGGGAGGACGGACAACGAGATCAAGAACTACTGGAACACCCACATCAAGCGCAAGCTCATCAGTCGCGGGCTCGACCCCAAGACTCACCTTACCATCGGCGGCGTTCCTTCTCACCGGCAAGGCATTCCCATGGCAGCCGACGAAGCCGTGAAGCCGAACGACATGGCCGAGGACGGGCACAGCAGTGTCACGAGCATGGACGAAGAGCGCTGCCCCGACCTCAACCTCGACCTCACCATAAGCCTCCATGGCGGTTCTCCGAAACCTCCAGCAGCCGAGGCTGCGACGCCGGCATCAGGGCCAGCTTGCGCTCAGCTCATCTGTTTGTGTTACCATTTGGGTCTGCAAACCAGTGAGGCATGCAGTTGCCAAGCAAGTCCTGATCTCCAACATGTTCTTAGATTCTATAGACCATTGGAAGAAGGGCAATAAACTGATCATCTGTGTTCAAAACATCAAACTAGCATCATTTGTTAGGATAGGAATGAAGGGGAGGAGAAGATCAAATGTTGATGAACCAAATGTTCATAGCCAATCATATCGGTTAAGGTTAGATTGCCTCAATCACCGGTGGGCAAAAGCCCCCACTCAAGCATTCCCTCTTTGCATGCTGCACCAAACAATCATTCAAGTAGGAGGGGGTCCATGAGGAACCTACCTCACCACCACCCAACTTGATCATATATTGTCTTCATTGTCAGATTTAATGCATTTGGAAAGGGAAGGTTGTTGTTGGTTGGAGGTTGGTGACCCACTGACATCACACAACACAACCACCATATCCTCTTCTTCTTCTTCTTCTTCTTCTTATTGATGTAGATGAAGAAAGAGCCTTTACTCATGATCTCTAAAGCAGAGAAGTGGAGATTAACTTCAGATGATCACCAGAAACTCTGTATCCACAATTTGGATACAGAAAAGCAACCAAAGAGGCTGTGATAAAACCATATTTTAATCTGTAGTAGTTAATTAAATAATATTGAGAGGGAATGGCCAGGCATATTAAATTAATGGGAGGTGATGAGACCAAAACCCTGTTTTGAGCTATATTTTGGTACTCACCAGCTTCTCCACACATGCATTATGCAGTAATAGAATATAATAGGAGAGTCATCTTCTCCAAGAATTTATGGACCATCTAACCTTCTGCTGTCATGTCTGCAATCAACATGTGGTTCTTTCAAGTGTTTGCCTTGCTTTTATTTCCATGTCAAGATTAGGTGTAATAAATGATAGCAACTGGAAAATTAGGTCCCTTATTCAAGAACTCTTGTATTATGTAGGCATTATTAGCCAATATAAAAAAACTAGGGGAACAATTCTTGATCATCCTTTGGACCTAAATTATCATATCATGGTTTGCTCAGGATTCTAAATTCCATTGATGATCTTGTCACAATTTTTGGGGAGTTTGCCATAAGATAATGATGCATTAATCCTGTCTACTGACCATATTGTAGCCTTTTTTTCCATAATGGTTGCACATTACTTAAACAAGTAGAAAGTAGGGAAATATTTCCTACACTGTGTGGCCATTGCAATCAACCATTGTCCTGCCAAACTCCAATTGCCACTCCTAAAATTGATTGAAGTGCTCTATGAGTTCTAAGAAATGATAAGACCAATTGATGGAAAGATCAACTTCATATCAGACCAAAATCACTCTTGCTCTTTGTCCATATATATGGCATTAAGATGCTCCATGAGGTCTTTTTCCTTATCCTTTTTTTTGAGAAGGGGTATCAAACCCCTTGATCTAGAGAGAATAAGGTCATAAAAGGAATACAAGACCAATTATACATCATAAGTTCATAACAATGGGAGGAAACACAGAGTGCACAAAATAGGAATCAAATCACAATTCTACTATGGAAATAAAAGACAGTGGACTTTTTTTCTTGGAGAATAAATGAGACATTAGTGGTGGTCATAATCAACAAACAACCAACTTTTACCTAAATATGTGATGATTCTTGTGACAACCTTACCTTGGCTCAGCTAATAACTGTCATGAAAGATTAGTTTACCTAATTATCAGTGAACAAATCTGACAATTCTCAACATCCATACATAGATTTGGATTACACAACCATCCATTAGACACTTAATAAAGCATAAAATAAACTAGAATTTACCAAAGAGTACATGATGAAAAAGAAAAAAAAAGAATAATATTCGACTAGTAAGGCAATGGATCAGATTTCTTGCCTACTTAAACAATGTTGGATTCCCTTTAATCAGATATGGGGTGAGCTTGACCTTAAATACATACCTGAACCGGATAAAAATCCATATTTGCTTACTTAGGTGGCTTTAGATTTCAGTTTCATAAAAATTGTTGGTACTCAATTCTCTGTAAATCAAATTTTAATTAATAATGATATTTGAATGAATGATGGTGGCTATGATTTTTCGGATTTTCTTTTGTAAGATATAGTACTCACCCTCCAATGACAAGTTAGAATTTTGATTGAATGGGTGGGAATTGAGAGCTAAAGCTACTTGGTTAGTTAGGATAGTGATTGACTCACCCTCTCATGCCTCATCCTTGAGTTACTTTGATCTATCATCTTGATAATACATCAACATCCTCTCCTAATTTCACATATCATTTCAATCCAAATTATGACATTGACCCATTTGGATGAGTGTTTGAAGAGCTAAGGAGGTAATATGAAACTTATTCATTGGTCCCATAAATACCTATAGAATAAATAAACAAATAAAAGGCTTTTTACATATCAATCCTTGCAAAAGAAAAATAGCTTAGTTTGCCCTTGCAAATTTTGATACATCATATCACATATCATGATCCTCCACATATATCATATTTATATTATATATATTATGTATATACTTATTTTGAACTCTATATATATATACCTGTGCAAGTTTACACAGAGTGATAGAGGCTTAGAGCAGAAACAATGGAGGAACATAAGAGACTCCCAATCACCAGTAGTGGCCACAAAGATGGCCACAGGGTAATGGACACAATGCATCAATAACTTCTCATGCCAAGTGCCCTACAGCGAGGACCAGCTTAGTGTTGTCTCAATTCATGTGCATGGTGAAGGATCATGCTTTTGATAAGCTAGCCAGGGTTGGTGCAACTCTCTCTCTCTCTCTCTCTAATTGACAACAAAGTCAAATCTACATATCCCTCCACAAAAATAACAGCCCATCATGAAAGATATCTTTTCATGGACAACCAGATTGAGCTGAAAGTGACTAAAGTGCAGGTGTAGGAATGATGAGTGTGGAACATGAGTACTCAACACCACAGCTGATGGTAGCTGCATCAAGGCATTCACTGGGGGTGGTTGGTGGCATTTCATAGTAGTTGCTCCTCCTACAATGAATGAATGGGAGAATGCATTTGCTAGTGCTCCTTTTAATGTTCCTCCCACCACATTGCTGCAACTTGCAAGCAGGCATTACAGGAGCGGACACTACATGGGCCACTATTTGTTTTTAGCTAATTATATGTTATCTTAGTAATTAATTATTTTAGTATTTTGATTCTTATATTTTTAAAAATTACATTGGCATATCTATAATTATGAAAGTAAAGCATCTAAATCTATTTATCCTAATGTCATCGATTTTATTAACGAAAATATGAAAATAAAATATAAAAATATAATTTTAACGTTTTAGTTGGTAGTGACGGATAACATCAATGGTGGCAGATAGCATCAGTAGTGACAGACGATGGCATTGTTAGGAGCCGCAAGTGACTATTATGGATAAGTAGAATGGTGACGAGAGATGAGGGTCGCTTAGTAACTACGTCGATGATATGTACAACAACGTAATAGCTTGTCTATCAGCTTTTTAGAGTTTTTCTTCCCGATAGACGATAATCGCGACAAATAGAATTCCTTCGACGAGCCCGCATCTCCCCTTTTTCATGCCCATGCCAAAATTGACATGGTAACAAAGGGAGTGATAAGATCTTCGATTACCTTAGCTTTAGGTCAAGCGATTCACTCAATGAGTCAACAGTGAGGCAGTTACCATCTTTATCGTAAACATTACGATGAATACCATGATCTACGTCGACATCGATGTGATTGTCGAGCGACAAAAGAATCACCGATGTAGATGCCAAGTAGCTCTTTCACCACTTCGTGTTGACATCGATGTAGATATTGAGTGACGCTGGTAAGTGAGGTGTAGAATATGAGATGAAAAAGGAGAAAAACATAATAGTTTTTGGACAAAAATAAATATTCTAAGCTAATAATTTTTTGGAACTTTATTACTGATAAATGTCTCTAATTAATAATTGAAGTGAATAAAAAGATGTTATATTCCATGAAAATTACAAATTAATGATCTCAGATGAGATTTATGTCTACCTTTATCAATCAAAATCAAGGACTCTATAGCTTAAATGATAGGCTAAGATCCAGAGGTTTGAACTCATATATGTATCAAATTGCACTACTCATTCCTAGACTAGTATAAGAACAATATCTAGATGAGTTCGACACCTAATTTTGGGCCACAATAAGATCCAAATCGGGCCCTTAGTTTTTTTCACATCAAGTCACTTGAAGTGTTCATCCATCAATTACATACAACTTAGTGTTTACATCTCATCTTTGTATATTGCAAGATTGAGCCCATAAAGTTGTCGAAGTTTGCACGTCATTTCACTCAAGTGATTGTTCCATGAAAAATATTTGTTGTATAGAACTCTTAATTGGCATTTTGTTCAATTATCATTGAGCTAATCTTCTTGTATATATATCTTTTGTCATACAATCTGCTATTCAATTAAATTGAGTTTAACATGGTGTTTGATCTCATGTACATTAATCAAGATCGATTTGACTTGGACTTATCTGATTTTAAATTTTAACATTTAAAAAAAAATCAAGTGATTGTTTGATAATAACCTTTTAGATTGTGTCAAAGTTTGAAAATAAAGTGAGAAAATACAGTTTAATTTACCCTTACAAATGAAGAAGAATTAAGAAACAATGAGTCAAAAAATTAAAAAGAAAATTAGTCAAACTGTAATTTAGCCTACCCTTATGAATAAGAGGGCGGCAAGTCAAATCTTTAGAGTGAATTGATAATTGAAAGGAAAATAGGTCAAATTGTAATTTAATCTATTTTTATTTTTATATGTAAGACTACGAATTAGGACTAAAGAACAATAACAATTGTGACGATTAATATAATAAAATAAACATAAATATGATATGATAAGATAAGATAATTTTATCATAATTTAAAGTATAATATTAGGCCTATAAATATGTGAGTATTTTGGTAAGTTTAATATAATATAATAAGTTATTATTTACCATTATCGATGTGACCGTGAGAGTTTATGAGAAATTTTTTGCTTTAGATTTGCTTATATAATTTTGTCCATTCGTGTAGGGCCAAAAACACATGATAGAGTATGATCAAGATGCTTATAAAATTTTAATTTTCTTACTCTCCAAGTAATATAAGATTAAACATACTTATCAAAGAATGCTCCTAGAAAGAGACTCTTGGTCTCACGATCCCCTTTTTTTTATTTTAGAGTAGGTGAACTAAAATCTTATAAGTGACATAATTATCTTCATATTTTAGAGAAATTTGTTTAGATTCACTTAAAATGGTAAAAATATACGAATTCATCCAAAACAAATAATTACTCATGTTGATGATAACAAATGATGATTTATCATAATCTTTTAATTTCTACTTTGATTTCATCTGATTTAGATTTTGGATTAGTACTATTCTATTATTATCATCGATTATACTTATA